CTCTTTTTAAAGTTTGTCCTCATCTTAATATTAGACTAACTAATTGCTATTGAATCTCCATATATTCCACAGTGGATAGTCTCAGGTCATTTGGTAGAGGTTCTGGTGCTTTTAAAGGTTTATTGATCTGAATTTTTTTCTCTTCAAATTTCAGGGAAAGAGCCTGATTCTTGGAGTTTATGAACCAGCAGAAAAAGATGGACAGTTCATCCTCACTCCATCATCAAAGGAGTTTAATCAAAGAACCAATGGAAAACTTGAAAACATCCTGAAAATGTAGGCAAAATTCATTTCCTTTATTTCTTTGTGATAATTTCCATACACTTGTAATAATATGTACACACGTTAAATCAGTTGAATGCTCTTGATTGAAAATGTGGTCAGTTTGCTGTATATTCTTTAATTAGAGTTCTTGTCCTTTTCCTTCACCTTTCACAACCATTGATTCCCTCTCATAACATATTTCTTGCATGCATACTTTTTTTTACAACTGTAAACTATTGTCTTCACTTCATGTGCATACCTACTCATGATATTGAAAGGAGCCTTCATAGATATCATTGCTTTGTGTTTAGAAGGTTGTGATTTAGTAGAGAGAAACAAGTAGGTACTTAACATGTCAGACAGTAAAGAGATATAGTGAATACTGTTGAATATAAAAACTTCAACAAGGACAAGAGTAGAGTGAGAGAGGAAGGGTTGGGTGCACAAATAAATTTAGAGTTCAGAGATCTATGCTGTTGTCCACTGACAGGGCACCTATTTTTTCTCATGGTTACAAAATGTAATTTCCAGCATTCTTTTCTACAAACTCTTTCAGTGCTGGGAAGAAGCTCAAATGCGGCAAAAGTCGAGTTTTGTATGGCCTTGATGAGAGCTTCCCTGCTGTCGCTGTTGCAAACCTGGGCAAACAAGATGTGGGCTTTGATGAAAATGAACAGCTTGACCAAGGAAAGGAAAACGTCCGAGCAGCTGTTGCAGGTGCAGTCCCAAGAGCAATAAATGTTTAATTGCAGAAGTCATTACTCTATCACCACAGATTATAGTATTGTATGTAAATTGAAAATTTTGTTAAATATTATTCGAGTTGACTTTTGTTACAATACTTTTTTTTAGCTTGACGGCT